ATAAAGAATTAAAAAACATCAGCTCCCCTACCAATTCAAAGACCCAATCCAAAAATGGAAGCTGAGATGAATACACACTTCTCAGATAAAGAAATACCAATCGCAAATAAATACATGAAAAAATGTTCAACATCATTAGTCATTTGAGAAATGCAAATTAAAACAACGCTGAGATTTCATCTCACCCCAGTAAGAATGGCTAGCATTAAGAAATCAACCAATAACAAATGCTGGTGAGGCTGTGGAGAAAGAGGAACTCTCCTCCACTGCTGGTGGGAATGCAGATTGGTGAAACCACTGGGGAAATCAGTCTGGAGATTCCTCAGCAAAGTAGGTCTAGAGGTCCCATTCAGCCCAGCCACCCCCCTTCTGGGTATTTCCCCAGAAGATCTGAAAGCACCATATTACAGTGATATATATGCACCCATGTTCATAGCAGCGCAATTTGTAATTGCTAAATTGTGGAAGAAATCCAAATGTCCATCCACTGAGGAATGGATAAGAAAATTGTGGTACTTTTATATAATGGAATATTACTCAAGTATAAAGAAAGATAATCTCGAGGCTTTTACAGGTAAAGGATCACAACTAGAGACCATACTCATAAGTGAAATAAATCAGACCTCCATGTGAAAGCAACATATTGTCTCACTAGTGTAAGAACCTGAAAGAGTGAATAAAAATTAGGAGGTAAGAGAGACATTGTGAAACGAAACGAAAATGCTCAAAGGTAAAGAGCAACTGGGGTGAGGGAAAAGAGAAAAGAAAGAAGGGGAAATTATGTATGTATGTATGTATATACAGGAGAGCTAACATAGTTGTACTACTGACTTCTATCGACTTACTGAAAGGAACAGTTAATGATTACTTATTTGATCAATCTTGCATGTCTCTTTGTTTTCCTGAGAAACCACTTTGAAGATATCAACAGGCAATACAACAACCATTGTTAATTTCCTACCACTTTGTCTGTAACTCTGTATTGTTTGTATTGTTCTTATGCTATTTTGTAAGTGGATGTCTGTTTGTTAATATGCTTTCCTTCTCGTATTTTTAAAATAAATTTTAAAAAAAGACAAAAAGAAAAAAAATACAAAACAAAAGGGGACATAGAAAGTTACTGATCACGCAACTAAGGGCTCAGGAAAAGCAGGAAAGTTTCTGAACCAGGTAACTAGTGAGAGTATCTATAGAGAGAGTATCTATAGCAGAACATGGCCCCCATAGCCAGTATACTTCAGTTTCTGGTAGTTACTGTTGCCCAAGTAATCTCTAATTTACTTTAGTTTGTGTTACTAGTTCCTGTTACTTCTGTTTCTCAGAAATGGCGGGTCACTATGATGCACACTGCAAGAACCAATCCCCACATGACAAGCAGTCTGCCTCTGTACTTCTGCTTTGCTACCCCACAGAAACCTCCCTCCCTGAGCCTTCAGGGCCTGACTTCTTTGGGAATGATCCCAGTCAGGACCACCGGTGTAAATTAAACTGATTTTTACCTCCAAACCTCAGTGTCGCTTGGTTCTTGGTCAAGGCTTTGCTGTTACATATCTAGAGAAAAAGGAAGGCCTGGCCTGGGAGACCAGTTGAGACTAATAGAGAATCTGTGGTGAGAACTCACTGCTACAGGCATAGGTTTGGGTTGGTTTCAGAGTCCTCCCGGTAG